TTTTTTTAATTGTTGAAGGTTAGTTAAATAACAGACTCTTACCTGGCTGTATCCATGCAACAGTTCTGCGTTAATGAACTAATCATAGTCAGGTTAGAATGAGGACAGATAGAATCAGTGAAGTACAGTTATTGTCACACAATTATTTATATTGCCCATACCCTTTTTCAAGAAATAGAATCACACGTTTGTCTGCTCAAGCTGTGGTAAGTTTAATAATAAAGAAAGATATTTTTTTAATGACATGGAATTCTGATATGAGCCTAAAATGTTGAAGAAGTTTCTCAATTCAGCGAACAGTCCAAAAAATCCTTCATGCAAAGACAAAAACATCCCCAAAGTACAAAGCTGTTGTTGCAGTGATACACAACTTATTTTTATTTGTAATATGGAGTCGAACTTCTTTCTCTGTGTTACATCAGACTGCAATTCATCAGACGAGGTCATAGCTCGGTAATCCTCATCTTGTTTTGTAACAAACTAGAATTCATTACTCTTGTACCATGCACCCACACACGAGCACAAACATACACATACAATGGCATGCACAAAGTCACTCACACACACACAGTTTTTTTCCATATTCACCATGAGCAACAGGTGTGACAACAGCCTGTGAGAACTCTGTGATTCTCCACATGGAGAGTGAGTAGGTGTGTGTTTTGATGATTAGTCTAGGATGACTACATGCCAACACATTAGGCCTCATGCAGCCAAAATACACACACACACACTTGCTTTTGCCAATGTTCAAACAGGGGCTTAGCAACTTCTCACCTACGCCCACTACCTGTGAAGTAACTGCCTGAATAACATCTATCCACTGCCACCTATTCACCATGAGGCAAAGCTGAGGCATTTGGTAAAAGTATATGTATATGCATGTATTACATTTTTTTTATTCTTCTTTGATAATTTGAGTGCCCTAACATTCTTACAAATTAAGAGACAACCGGCAACTTTTGTGTCCCCAGCACTTCCAGCTGGTATTATTGTTTGGTCACTGTAGTAAAGACGCTGCAGTAACAAGACACTGGTAAGGACGCAGGTCAGAGCTGGCTCCTGAGGGAGTCGTCAACACTACTTTGGAGATATCCGAGGAGAAGAAAGAAGCACGTTCAGTGACGAGGGAAACGGAAGTACTCACAACGTTACAATGAACATACGAACCGGCAAACACTTTTGTAACAATGTACATTGCATAGTAATAACATAGTTTGACAAAAATAATTGCTTGGCACAAATGTGTAAAATCAGCAGGAGTTGTATGGGGGAAGAGGTAGTAACCATAGAATAAAGCAGCAGGAGAAAAGGTGTGGCTCTGCTTCTGTCTAAAGCAGAAACAACGGTAAAAATACCAATTTCAACAAATAAACTCAAGTTACCTGTCTGGTAGTATTATTAAGCAGGCTGGTTGTGTTACTTTAGCCATTTACAGACATGACCTCCGGGCAAAACTCAGAGAATTGGCTACGGAGTTTACCCAGCGTTTGCCTTTCACACATGCATGACACAGCGGGAGGTTCTCTGCACAGATGTGTGCGAATCCTCCGCATTCTTCAGGTGAGAGGTGGAGCAGCCGGGTGCAGCAGGCAGACACAGGAAGTGTATTGACTCTGCGTTGATCATGTGATTTTCTTTTAAGCACCCCGACACTGTCTGTTGCGCCATCAACCCCCCCCCCCCCCATTTACTCGGGGTGAATCGAGCAGGGGGATCCCCTGCTGGGTTTACACATCGACTTCTCCTGGATTTTCACACAACTGCATGTCAATTCTGAAGCCTTTCTCAATGGAGTAAGTGGCCATCTGAGGTTCACTCTGTGTTTTTTTTATCTCATGCTTTTATTCCTCTGTCAATGGGATTATTTTTCCCTGGGAGGTTGAGTTGTTTTTGTCAATTTAGCTATTCCACCTTCTGTTGTTTCCATCACTAGAGAAATAAAACATGGAAAGTGCTTTTCTCTGTCTTGTTTTGGTTATGCATGATGATGCAGTTCTTTTGTGTCGCAAATTAAGACGTCATTTTCTGTGCAAAAGGCATCCCCATGGCCAAGAGAATGAATGGTAACATAAAAGCTTCTATCTTCATTACACTGTGCAATCAGTTTTAACATCATAATGAATGCTGTCTACTTCTGCTGAAAAAAGTTTTAGATTTTTCTGTTAGAGACAAAGGCGTAGGGAATTCAATGCTTTTTAAGAGAGAATCTGAGTTCTTAATTGTTTAAATTGACAATATTTTATTCTGCTCGTGGCAAAATGAAAGCTTTATATACAGTACAAAGAAAATGCTAGTGTCTCTGCACAACCAAAACAGGAAGAGTATAGCACTTTTGCCCAGCAGCTATTTGAAGCTTTCCCTAGGAAGCAGAAATGGTGGACCATGAAACAACTGGAGTAACTGTGGGAAAGGAAAATGAGCCCTGTTGGAAGAAGCAAAGAGGGTGAAGAGAGAGGAATAGACACAGAGGAAAAAGATGGACATTTACTTAATGAGAGAGCTCTGGGATAAAATGGCATTTAAAGGCCTTTTTTCTACCAGATCAGCAAGTAACAAAACCGGCCTGTATCTACTATCGCCGTCTTCATTGTACTTTTCTTTCATTTTCAAAAATCATATGACGTGATACCAACCCAGTTTTCTTGTCTAAACACTTACTTAATCATTGATATCTTTATATCTAAAGAATTTATGAATTTAAGAATTTATACACCACTTTCATGTCTCTATTGTAAACTAAATGAATGAATAAACCAACACTATTTCACTTAATGTTTTCATCTGCTCCATGTCCGCCCCAATGTCCCATAAGCACCCACCGCCTGCCTCCATTGAGCACCGTGTACAGCGATCATCCATGCTAAGCAATGCACATGATTGCAGAGAGCCTGGGACTTTGTTGTTGTTGAGTTAATTTCAAACTGACTCAGCATCATCATTTCATAAAAATAAGCTCTGTAACCCAGCATGTATAATGCATGTAGCCTGCTGAGGAAAAGGAACCAACACAGACAGACCTGACAGCCCCAGGGAGTTAAATGAGTGAAGGAGAAAAGTTGATTATAAGGCTCTTAACGACTCTGCTAATTACCATTGATGCTAATTAGCTGAAGCTGCAAGTTAACTGCACAGAGAGTAATCAGTGTCTGGAACGAGACAGAAGTTAGAGTCAAACTATCATCTCTCAACCCTTCACATGGCACAGTAAGACATTATATACTGCGCCGTTATGTCCCAGTAACGTTGGCGTTCTCCTCATGCAGACATCTGACAGGCCCTCGAGACGACGATGAAAATCTTAATTGTGGGCCCAGGCTAAGAAAAGAAACGCAGCTACTTCAATGATTCCGAGAAAGGTCATGCCATTTTAGTAATCTGAGATGTATATGTACAATTTATTACCAATATTTAACTCTCACAGCAAAGGTTAATAAGCCCGTTTCTTTTCTCAGGGTGCAGCGTGTAATCATACTGATCAGTGCACTACTTCCTGTTACACACTGCAACAAACATCAACACACAAAGACACACACATCCATTTAGCTTGACTTATGTTGTCTGTGACTGTTATTTTGTGCAGTAAATCCAGGTTTCTCCCGATGCTGAGATACCAGCTTAATCTTCTCCCAGGTTGTCGACACAACAACCACTGGGGCTGATTTACTGTGGTCAGCTTCAATTACCAACCCTGAGAGCCAAAGGTATTCCTCAGGGTCTGGATGGGCATACGTTTCAAGGACAATTATTTTTAATGAGACTGCCTCCAATCTATCTGCATGTGGGTCGAGGGACGCTTGACAAATTCGTCCTTCAGAGAGCCTCCTCCTCACTCTGATCTATGGTTCTGCTTCATTTCCTCTGCCTGTCATGCTGTGTGTAGTGCCGCTATCAGTATGTTTCACCTGGTGCAATGTCTCAACAATGGAAAGATAGGCTGTGTAACTGATATGGCAGTATGGTATTTGTATTTATAAAAAATGTAGTCACTCTAAAAGTTTTAGGCAGTGGGATAAAATTTAAAAAATAACAAATGAAACTAAGATTTCTCATCCACATGTTAAACGATGCAGGCCATTGTGAGAGTAACATTTTCACTCGAAGCTGTTGCAATCAATATTTCATATGATCAACCTGTATGTGAATGGGTCATTTACAGTGGTGATAGATACCCACCAACTTTGCTAATTTTGGTTCGATCTCCTGCAGTAATTGAGCAGCAGCAAGTAAAGAGCGACTGTGAGATTCAGTTCGTAGAACCCTGAAGCTGCACCACCATTAATGCACAAAGAGCTGTTCACCTGTTTACTCAAAGTGCAGTGAGGCACCACTCAGCATGCAGAACCCCGAACACATTGTTGTCATGATCGACAACATCAATTACGCCACTGCAAATTTAACTCTGCACTTCCCTGGACTCCTAACAATACACATGCCAAATGTGAAGCAGATAAGATGAGCGATTCTTGAGTTGGACCCAGACAGCAAAACACTCATTTGGTTCAGCATGCTTTTGGACGTCAGAGTTAAGGCCATAAATCTTATGTTCACAATACCAAAGAAAAACTTTACAACAATACAATATTTGTGGACAAGCAGATTTAGCCATCATGGTCACTATCACGGTCACGTCTCTGAGCTGCAGAAACAGCTTGGTTTCGTTAATCTGATCTATTTTCTTCGCTATAGGCTTTGATCCTCTTCTGCTGCTGAGTGTACATCTCCAAGGGGCTCCAGCCCACGGGGTGTTTCTCCTGCCGTGATTGCTAGCAGAGGTCCTGCTTGTTGGTTGTCCTGGCCTTTCTCATGTCTCATGGGAAAGTGGTGTCTTCTGGGATCACTGTTTGAGTCACCGGCTTGACCTTGTGACTGCAGGCAGTAATCACAGCACAGGATTCTTGTGGCATTTGTGTACCCATGGGCACGAGCTTCTGGGAGCGTGAATAAAAAAAATAATAGTGAGAGACAAAGTGGATATGATTTGTGACATGTGCATCCAACTGTGGGTGTCATACATATGTATGGGTGTCATGTATGTGCATGTCTGCCTGTGCTGACATAGCCGTCTATTGTAGAGTATCATGCAAATTTTATATATTGTTACAGCCGTGTCACTGTTGTGTCTGATGCAGTACTGAATACCACAGTTATGACTTTTCTGGGGGTTTTCTTGCCTCCATCTGTGCATCTTGTGGTAATTAGATGCATTGCGTGTGTCACACTGAGTTCTGTCTCCTGTTAAGCTCAGTGACCAGATAGTGATTGAGTTGTAGCACTCTTTTATCTTCTCCACGGTCCTCTGATGAAGAGTTCTTCCCTCTGGGCCTGGCACTCTGGCTTAATTCGTTGTGGTAAGAGCCTGTGCTGTTGCTCTACACAGTAATCACTCAGAGTTGCTTCACAAACACACCATAGGCATACTGACGTGCAGCATTAACAGGAGAATAGAAAATAAATTCTTCGCCAACATTTAAAGAAAAAAGTGTATCATAAATGAAAACCTGAATCTAAATAATAATAATAATCGGCACTGATACGTCCCAGGGCAGTAATGGTGTTTCACCTCTTTTGCCCTTTAAATTGCAGACATAGATCAAATATTGGAGTGAGTGAACTCTGCCGAGTTTTATTTTTTCTTACCTCCAGTGATTCTGTGTGACTAACATTGGCAAACAGACACAAAGTGTCTGATGCTACAATGCAAAAATTACTGTGAAGGATGTGGGCAGATGTGCCTCACCAACTGTAAATCTGGCCTACCAGCTCAACCGGTGTTGTTATGATGCTGAACCTGATCTGTGACTTGCCTGAGGGAAGATGAGTCAAAAGATAATTTTCCTGAAGGGACCGGCAAACCATGTTTGACCGAATATTACTTGGAGTACAAGTAAAGGCGTAAATAACAGTTATACTTTGTTATCATGCAATTTTAATTTCAAACAGAAATATTATAGAAATAGAAAAAATATAAACAAATACTTACATAGTATGTAAAAAAATATATAAAAATCCTCAAGCATTTAAAAAACTATCCATCATTTATACGCTAGATATGTCCTCCAAATATTTAAACATGTCAAATGTTTTTAAGTTAATGTTTTAGTCTGCAGTCAACAGGAAATACATGGCTTTCATATGGAGGAAACTGAATAATTGATTACTCAATGTTTTAATTACTCAGGCCAGTTTTTTTTTTAGCTTTTTCGTGTCCCAGCAGGTCTGCTGCTCTGCTCTGCTGATAGCAGCTTGTTTGTTTGCTTGTGGATGAAAAATCCCTGTCCTCTGAGCATCTGTCCAGTCCAGCAGGGATGTTCTATCTCCCCAATACCCCAGACTACTTGAAAAAATACAACCCAGAGAAATATGAGCAAAGCTACTGGCTAGATTCTCACCCTTCCAACCCAGTGTTATGAATACAACAATTTAAAATACTATACCTTTTACCTTTTTATACTTAAAGGACACTTTAACATTGGGAAAATGGTTGTAATCTATTTTCTGTAATTTTGAGCTTTTAGTAAAAAGTTTCAGCTTTTATTTTTTTCTCCCCCCCCTAGCTCATGAGCAGAAAATTTTAAACTTGGGGTAATCTCTCCGATAAAGCCTTTTTTGCATATATTCTCATCATTAAATTGTAGGAGATAAATACATCGGGTGTAAGGCTCTGTGCAAATGCATTACTCTGGAAAGCCCCCCGTGGAACTTTCTGGGCATACACGTCATGACCACTCCTCTGAGGTAGCGTGAAAAATGATGATCTCTAACTTTTATCATGTACATGTGGAAGATTTGGTCTTTTTTTTCCCACTGCCACTTAAAAGGTCTGATTTAGCATGATACTTTTAATATTCACAATAGGCAGATTTTAAAACATCATCTGCTTATTAATTTCATCATTTTAAATGAATAAAGCCAATTTTTTTGTATTCTTGTAAATACTTTCCATCAAGTTTGTAGTCTTGGAGGAAACCATTGACAACAAGCTCTTTGAATTTCCAGACTAACATCAGGCATTGTTTCTGGTAAGCCCTCTCGCTCACTGTCAATTTTTTTTCCCTGGTTAGTCAACTGAATAATTTGTTTGGTTTAACAAGAGATATAAACACAAATGACATTTTCAAACATCTTCCATGGAAACCCACGCACTGAATTGTCTGTGCCACTGTCACAGCTCAGATGTGACCCACTGTTAACCGTTTCATTTATATAATGATGTTATTACATAAGTCTGGCTGATTTTATAGCAGGCAATGTTTCCTGTAAGCCTCCCTAGCCATGGTAGGGAGATACTTCTCAACTGGCACCACTGGCATCCACCTGCCTGCATACTGCCAGTCTTACATGCTGACCTCACATTACAGAGTACAGCACACTGAGGCTTACACCATTAAACTTGCTGTTCAAGTTAGCAGCAGTTATCTAATTGTGTGCTTTCCTGTTGGCACAAAGAGGATCCACTCTTGCTCCAGCTGCTCTGTTAGTGTGAAAAACCATTTGCGCAGCACTGATAGAGATAGAAGTGTAGACCAGGCACCTCCATATTAACAGGTTTTTTGGCTTATTAAAGGCTGTGAAGTCCTGCAGTGGTAAGATATGTAGGTGGGCAAAAAAACATCTGCTAGGGTCGAGACTCAACATTAACTTCTGTGGCACTTGTCCTCTGAAATACCATATATACATGTACCTTTCATAATACAGATTACAAAGACAGTGTAAATAAATAAACAAATATATAGATAAATACTGAGCAGAGGGGAGGTATTATTTAAGAAATGTAACTTCCAAATTTATAAGATTCAGTAATGTAAAAATATCACATCATTATTTCCTCGTGCTTCGGGATGACCTCAAGTTTACCGGTTTGCCTGCTCACCTCTCTGCCTGCCACGCTCACCACACAATGCATCGCCCCATAATCATGATTTATTTTTTTTGTTTTCCGCTGCAAAACAGAACACATGACGAGCTTATTTTTATGAAATGATGATGCTGAGTCAGTTTGAAATTAACTCAACAACAACAAAGTCCTCAGAAGGTTGTGGTAATGCACCTAAAGGTTGTTTTTACAAACACCATACAAAAACTTAAGAGAAGAACCTCTTAAGATTCCATTCTGGAATCACCACTGTGAAATTGTTTCCTACAAATAGCAAATGTGTGGTCTAGGTTCTGGCCAAATCATCTAATGTGTGCATTCTGAAGATTAGAAGATTAGAAAATCTGTTAAATCAGTCATTATGTCTGTCATCAGCCAAGAGTTGAAAATCCTCTAGTGTGCTGTGTAGACTGGCATGATGCAACACTGTCACTTAAACTTTAATTTCTCACCCTCTTAACCAGATTAAAACAATACATATTCAAGAAAAAAATAACATAGTAAAAGTTGATTTTGTTGGTGTTTATTGTAAGGCAAAGGCTGTTGCACTAATGTTCGATATTCTTTTAAAAAATCACTTCACAATAAAAAATTTAACTGAACTGAAAATATTGAAAATGTGTTTGTTTTCAGACATCCAGTTTACAAGACAAATGCAATGATTTGCAATAAAAGCCAAACTCCGCAATGTTTTATTTCATGATGCTGTTAGGCTTTTTCTATGGGGCTTCAGGTCTTAACGGGTTAAAGACATAAACTGTGTGCTGACTGATTGATCTGACTGTTTAGATCAACTTTTGAACTTGACAATCAAACCTTTACAATGGCAAACAACTCAATCTTCACGAACAGTAGTTTCCAGACGATTCATTTTAGTCTTCCACACAGCAAACACAATTCCTCAAGTTGAAGTGAAGAACGTCCACATTTTGTACAAGTAAGATAAATGCAGCGAATGTGTCATTTTCCAGAGAAATTGTTGACACACATCCCCTGTGAACTGGCCTCTGAGTGTCCCTCTCTGTCAGTGTGTGCTATTGATAAGAGACTGCACGTCGCGACTGTCAATCATTCAGGCAGTCAGCAGCAAGCTGCTTGCATCAGGTCATAATTTTTGGTTTGAGTTCATCAACTAAAGACATATCAGATCATTTCATCATATGCTTTCATCAGCCAGACAGTCTTTTAGATATACTGCTGCTGGGGATTTACCCCAGAAGCCACAGCTACACAGAAAAACACCCGTTGAACTTGACTGGATCAAAGTCCAAACGCCCAGAACAGATCAATCACAGTTTTTTTTCCAATCAAATGGAAACTAATCAGTTATCAAAGGTACTGCAAAACATTTACATCATCTACTCAAGGTAAATGTGACGACAAAACTGAAAAGCAGCTAAACACACATACAGACATCAACATATGGGGAGTTATATTTCTAGTAAAAACTTTTTTTTTCTACTGATTAGAGTAAAACAACCACCTGTTTAAATGTGTGACTTCTGAGTAAAAGTAGAAAGAGGACAAAAAGGACGTCCTTTTACCTTACAAACACGGTTTATAATGTCAGTGTCCTTTTTCGGTGGTTTAGGGACCCACCTTTCCCATAACTCGGTTAAAAGTAATCTCCAAAAGCCTCATTTGATCTACAGAAGATAAAAATTACTTATTGACATCGATTTCCATAAAACTCAAAATTCTAGCCTCTTCCTTTGAGGAGACTGACAATCATTACAATGTCTTTGCAAGGTCGTAATGATGAAGTGGCTGGAAGTATTGGTTTGTATGATCACATAGATTACCCTGATTTGAAGAGGCCTTGTTCTAAAGCAACTGTCTTTTTATACAATGTATTTTGACCCAAGTAATGTGTGATTTATTCGTTAAAATGGAAAGAAGAGAGAAGTTGGTATTACAAGTCTGTAAATAAGACCTCTTTGGCGTGAAGAGGCAAATTGTAAGGATGTGAGGCCCAGAAGAGCGAGAGCTGGAGTCATGGAGCTGGATTAGCAGGTAAATACATAAACCACTGTGCGTCTAGAGGTTAGGTAGCAC